TATATGGTGGACGTCGAGTGTTAGTTTTTTGGAAAAAAGCGTTTGTAAGCGAGTGGTGGAAAGAAAAGTTTGTGGCAGAAGTATAATCATACGTTGCCTACTATTATTATTTTCAGTTCAGTATGTTAAAAATGTGTACAATGTGACGATCGCATATGCAGATGCAATTGTGCAGTCCGAATTTGAATTGGTCTTCAAAGGCGTTTGCCCGAAGAACGTGCATTTTCGTGTTGAAAGAGAGGATATACGAAGCCTACCCGAACAGGACGAGCTACTGGGAGAGTGGTTGGCAGAGCGCTGGAAAGACAAGGAAGCGGCTTTATCACACTTTTACGATTCTGATGATGTCAAACAGCGAAACTTTCGGGACGAGACGGAAGTTAACTTATTTAAAGTAAAATTTTATATATCATGAATCTGATTCTTTTACATTTGCAGATGTTTTTAGCTGCAGAGGAGCTACTCAGTAATTTGATCATGGGGAACGGTTTTCCTGACGGGTTAGAAAATCTAATGAGTCACACTTGTTGTAATTTATTAGACAGACTCAGTAGAAAATCTGGTGAGTGTTCCTGATAGAACAGTGTCTAAAATCTCTCGAAAAAAGCGATGAAAACGATGCGTCTGACCAGCTGGTAGAGAGAATCGCTAATTTAAATAGTGCACACTTCGCGTCACTTTCATCTGGCTACAAGTCCCTAGAGCCAGATAAAAGTGATGCGGAAGATAACCTGAAGTTTGTGCCAAAGTTTTATACTGAATTTTCAATTTTTTAAAGAAAGGCTGCTTGGAAGCCCTTCTTATATCGCTTAAAAGGGAGTTTTTTTTCTTCCTATTGAGTAAGTTAAATGTATCCGAATCTGGCGATAATAAATTCAAAACGAATAGAGATCTGTGACTGTGTCAGCGGATAAATGACACGAAATTAAGCATGTAAAACAGCCTAGGTAGCTGACAAGAAAACGCATGCAAATTCTTTCCTAAAATTACGGTGAAATTTACTTCCATTCACATGGGCTGATAAAACTGCAAACGGTAGTGTCCCCCCACTCAGTATGCTGGTTTTTTGTGCGTTTTTGCTGTGCAGCGCTACAGCGCTGCTAAAGCCAGCAAAAACGCATATTGTCGAGAGGCTGTCTGTGTGTGTGT